TTGCCATAACAAAATACCCAAGACTGGGTACATTATTTTTTAAAAGAAACCTATTTAGCTGACAGTTTTAGAGGCTAAAGTCCAAGATCTAGCAGCTTTGTTAGCTCTGGTGACGCCCCTGTCTTAGGTGACGTCCCTGTCTTAGGTCGCTACTCGCTGGGATAAACACCGTGACCATATTCATCTCACAACTTGAAGTACACCATGAAGAACGTGCACTGTGGACTTGCCTAAAGCCACATTTTATGGAGGCATTTTCTCAGTTGAGATTCCCTCCTCCCAATAACTCTAGCTTATATCAGAGTGACATAAAATCAGCCAGCACACCCCCTTCGATATATCACAACATAGCAGAGAAGCAGCAGGGGAAACAGCTGTGTACAGAAGAGATGTCACATGACAAGACAGGAAAATAAGTATATATTTTTTTTTCTTTTTGATTTCTTGGTGGGTGGATGGGGGGAGGCGGGGGAGGGCATAGCAGGCCTTGGCTGGCCTCAAACTACAGCCTGCCTCTGCCTCCTGAGTGCTGGGATTAAAGGCGTGCGCCACCACACCCAGCTTTTTGATTCTTGAAATAGGTTCTCCCTGCGTTGCCCACCAGGGGCCTCCAATTCATGATCCTCCTGCCTGAGTCCTAGGTTTATGGAAGTGGGCCACCACAGCTGGCGCTTCTTACGACAACTTGCTCTTGGAACCGACTGACACCCTGGGGTAGGAACTGCTCAGTCCCTCCCACAAGAGGCCCACGGATGACTTAACCCTCCTACCAGGCCACAGCTTCTCTCCCTGTGTAGTTGGTGCTGTCCTGGAACTTGCTGTGTAGCCCAGGCTTTCCTTGAGGTCAGTCCTCCTGCCTCAGCCTCTCTGGGGCTGCGTTACAGGCCTCTGTTCCCATTCCCCATCCTCAGCATGACTACACTGTGCATCTCTGGGAGACACTGCAGGCCATGTCCAAACTGGAGCAATTTCTTTCTTTTTTTTTTTTTTAAAGATTTACTAATTACGTGTACAGTGTTCTGCCTGCACATATGCCTATAGGCCAGAAGAGGACACTAGATCTCATTACAGATGGTTGTGAGCCACCATGTGGTTGCTGGGAATTGAACTCAGGACCTCTGGAAGAAGAACCAGTGCTCTTAACCTCTGAGCCATCTCTCCAGCCCATTTTTTTTTCCCTACTTTTTTTTTTTTTTTTTGTGGAGCTGAGGATCGAACCCATGGCCTTACGAATGCTAGGCAAGCACTCTACCACTGAGCTAAATTCCCAACCCCCTGGAGCAATTTCACTTAACAGTTTGTCCTTATTTAAAATTTGGTCTGAGGCAGGTCTCAGAGTTCGAGGTCTACAGCGTGGGTTCCAGGACAGCCAGGGCTACACAGGGAAACCCTGTCTCAAAACAGAATTTTGGCCTGTGCTTACTGCTGTGCTGTTAAATTTTTAATAGTGTTATTTACAGTTCTTTTTATATACATTTCATTTATTTAATTTCAGTGTGGGAAGGGGTTGGGTTTATGAGACAGTCTCTCCCTGCAGCCCACGCTGTCCATGGACTCCAGCAGTCCTCCTGCTTCAGTCTCCCAAGTCCTGGGATTGCAGGCTTGTTCCACACCGCCTGCCTGTGTTTGTTTCCTTTACTGGACTCATGGAATAAAATCCAAGGACAGATTTTATTTTTTAATTAATTTATTTTTGTTTTATGTGCATTTGGTACTTTACCTGCATGTATATGTGTGTGAGGGTGCCAGGTCCCCCAGAACTGAAATTACTGACAGTTCTAAGTTGCCATGTGGGTCCTGGGAATTGAACCCAGGTCCTCTGGAAGAGCAGTCCGTGCTCTTAACCACTGAGTCATCTCTCCAGTCCCCCAAGCACAGATTTTTAAAAGATACATTTATTTTTGATTGACACATAGTAATTGTACATATTTATGACGCACTGTGATATTTCATACTCTGCTCGTTTATTTGTGTGCTTATTCCTGTATAAGGAAGTAAGAAGGCCATCTTTGGGTCTCAGTCCTCACCTGTCTCCTGTCTACCTTGTTTGAGACAGGGTTTCTGGATGGCATAAGCCATCTAGCCATCGAGGTTAGCTGGCTCAGGATTTCTGCAGAATCGCCTGTCCCTGCCTCCCATCTCCCCCTATGGACACCCTAGCATTACAGACACCTGAGCTACTGCTTCTAGATTTTGTGTGAGTTCTGGGCATCTGAGCTTAGAGCAGACTTGCCTAACAAGCACTTTCACCCATTGAGGTATCTCCCCATCCCATCCCCCAGCTCCCCTTCCCCCCACGAAGAGTGTGTGTGTGTGTGTGTGTGTGTGTGTGTGTGTGTGTGTGTGTGTGTGTGTGTATTCATTTGTTTTTAGTTTTTAGAAACAGGGTCTCTCTTTGAGGTCCTGGCTGACCTGGAACTCACTATGTTGGCCTTGAACTCTCAGAGCTCTGCCTTCCCAAGTGCTGGGATTAAGGCCATGGCCAGCATGCCCAGCTCCCACTAGGTGTATTTTTGATGATCATTCCGTCAGCATTCCCTAGCCTAGGGACACACAGCCGTCTCTCATCACCCGTTTGAGGGGAGGGAGGAGTGTGCAGTGCTCTGTAGTAGCATGCTGTGATGATGAGGCAGCTTAGAAACTAGACCTGAGTAGACCCTGACGTCCATCGCCTTCTCGCTTGCTTGCTTATTTGATTTTTTTCAACATTTGTCAAAAACATTGAATCATCACATGAGGTTGCACGGGATCCACAGTGACATTACTGATGGCATACCAGCAAAGTGAGTCTAGCCAAGACAATGGGGAGTTCTCATTCTAGTCAACACCTGAGGACAGGCCTGGGGAGAAGGCCCAGGGTGTGGGCTGAATCCTGCAGTACAGTTGCCGTGGTCACCAGTGCATCCAGAACTCAGTGGTGGGATGAGGGCGACCGCAGAGAAAGAGCAGGTCACGTGCAAAGCACAGAGGAAGAGCCAGATGAGATGACTCTTTCCACCATGGAGGTCAGCAAGGACCAGTCCCCGTCATGGATACCAAACAGGACAGTATCTCTCTTCGGCCATCAATTATGGTCCCTTTGATCTTACCTGAGATTCCCCTAGAATCTTTAAAAATTACCAAAGGTTAGTGGAGCATGCTAGTGCATGCCTGTAATCCCAGCACTGAGGAGATAGAGGTGGGATGGTCACAGGTTCAAAGCCAGCCTCAGCTGAATAGCCAGACCTTGTCTCTAACACAGACATGGTGTAGCATTTGCTCATGGCTTCTGCCTGCCCTCTGTAGGCTTAAATCACCCCTGACTTCTGCAAGACTGGGTACAGTGCAGATGGGATGCTGAACCACTTGAGTCCCACTGATGCAGGAGGCTTATTTGTGGTCTCCAGCACTTAACTGGCTCCTAACAGCTCAGCGTGTGTGAAGTGGCAGCTGGTTTTCATCTCCCTAATGACTAACAGTGCTAAGCTGGTCATAGCTTAAAACAACAAAACAAACAACAACAACAAAAAAAAACAGGCTCTTCTGTGTGTCTCTGGCTGTCTGAAATTCCAGTTCCAGGAGGTCTGCCTCCCTCTCCTGAACTCTGTGGGCATCAGGCATGCATGTGGGGCACATGCATACATGTAGGCAGATTATGCACAAAATAAAATAAATATAATTTAAAAATAGTATATGTGACAGTGCTGTCCTTTCTGTCTTACTGGGACATTTTCTTCATATCCATTATGCTTTTTTGCCTGACTTTCTTGCTTTATCTTGCCGTTGTTTTGGTTTGGTTTGGGGGTACTTAATCTCGCCCTATTTTCCAGTCCAGCTATGAACTCCTGGGATCAGTGTCCTCCTGCTTCAGCCTCCCGAGTAGCTGAGACCAGTGAGTGGCACCGCACTCAGCGTTTCCACCCACCTCGTAACCATGACCTTACACTTGTGTGGTGTGTAGGTTGGTTTTGGCTGACAACACAAACAGGAGTCATCAAAGAGGGAGCTTCAGTAGAGAAACTGCTCCCATCAGATTGGCCTGTAGGTGATGCCATCCCTGGGATGGTGGTCGGGGGTGTAGAAGAGAAAACTGAGCCAGCCGTGAGGAGCAAGCCTGTAAGCAGCGTCCCTCCGTGGCCTCCACTCTAGTTCTTTTCTCCTCTTTCCTGTCCTGACTTGCCTTTTCTGAAGGATTGTAAATGGAAACGAAGCCTTTCCTTCCAAGTTGCTTTGGGGTCATGGTGTTTATCACCACAACCAAGCAAGCGTTCTGCAGGGTTGCCCCCGGCCCTGGCTCTTTATCTTGCTTTTACCGGTAAACTCACCTGTCCTCTGCTCGGAATGTCTAAGCTACCTTTTCTTTCTTCTCACCTCTGGCCCAAGTTCATTTGATTTCAGCTTTTGTAAGGTGAACAAGAACACAAAACTGAGGAGCTTGGCTGTGGCAGTACATCCCAGTAATCCCAAGATCTGGAAGGTTTGGGCAGGAAGATCATTAGTTGAAACTCAGCCTGGAACACATAGGAAGACCCCATCAGGAAAGAGGAAAAAACCTGCCTGAGTGTTTCCAAGACCAGGCTGGTCTCAAACTCAAGAGATCCGCCTGCCTCCTAGATGCTGGCATTAAGGATGTGCACCACCTGACCAGCTGGAGTGTTTGTATTTCTTGTGAAACAAAAAGGGATTGGCAGCAGTTCTTAGGATTAGGTTCTGTTTTTTGTTTGTTTAAGCAGTCTAAGCTATTCCAATATGGTAGGCCCCCCTGTTGTAATACTGAATTTTCTCCCTAGAGGGCGCTGCTGGAGAAGAAGCAGAGAAAGAAACGCCTTGAGCCACTTATGGTACAACCAAACCCAGAAGCCAGGCTGCGGCGGTTAAAGCCACGAGGTGGTGAGGAGCACACGCCTCTGGTGGACCCTCAGACGCCTCGCAGCGATGTCATCCTACATGGTGTGTATTCAGACAGTGCCACATCTGGCTTACGTACAATTTTCACAGACCCGAGATAAGGCAGGAGAACGCTGATGTGGTGCACAAAGACAGTACTGGTGTCCTTCCGAAGTACCTTCCTAATCTTTATAATCACCTTCTGGGTCTTTAGGGGGAAATCGTGGAAGATGCCTTCAAGTTCAAGTCCACCCTAGAACTATTGATTTTGATGAAAAATGAATGGTTCCATCTAAAATGAATGAATGAATTCTCAAAATTCTCAAGGTGAATGAAAACTGGCCCTGAGCCACACTCCCAACCTCTTGGTCTCACTCCTAGTTCTGGAGTACAGCTTGAGGAGCCAAGCCTGTTAATAGAATCGGTCCTAGTCCTGGACAAACGTGCTTGTGATGTTAAGGAAGGAGAGCTGAGATGGCTGGGTAGCCCTTGATTCTGACCACATCCCCCAAACCACCAAGCTCAATTCTGGTTAACTCTCTCTCTCTGGGCTTCTAGGCATTGATGGTCCAGCTGCTTTCCTTAAGCCAGAGGCTCAGGATTTGGAAAACAAGCCTCAAGTTCTCTCAGTGGGCTCCCCTGCTCCAGAAGAGGGCACTGAAGGAGGTGCAGATCGGGAAAGCCCTGTGGAGACTTCCCCGAAGCCAGACCTTCAGGAGATTCTCCAAAAACACGGTGAGGATGATGCTGAGCTTCGGGCGGGGTGACCTCCTTTCTCGCTGGCTTATAATCTAATGGCCCAAGCTTGCTTTGTGTGGCCTGGGGTTTCAGCATCTTTGACATCTAAGTGGGGATGCTTGGCGACTGTAGTCACTAATGCTGCTGTCTGAGAAAACAAGGTAATGAAATACAGAATAATTATATATGACTTCCCCTTTCTTTTGACAGAGAAACCCTGTAGACAAAATTCTAAACAGTCTTAGTAAATAAGAAACACAGAGCCAAATACAGAGATAACCGCCAAAGAGATCAGAGCAATAGCCACGACTAGCGTTAGCTTCCACAGAGAGAGATTTCTTCCTGCCTGACTTGTATTTTTTATTGCCTTCTGTTCTGTCTTCTCATTGACTCTAAGCCCAGCCACATGACTTCCTCATCACTGCCTGTCTGTACAGACCTCCAGGTCTCTATGGTTGGTACTGAGATTAAAGGCTCGTGTCACCATGTTTGGCTCTGTCCTTGACCACACAGAGACTCTGCCTGCCATGTGATCGCATTAAGGGTGTGTGCTACCACCGCCTGACTTCTGTTTAATGGCTGTTTGACCTCTGATCTCCAGGCAACTTTATTTATTAACATACAAATAAAATATCACATTTCAGCACAAATAAAATACCACCACAAAACCCTGTCTCTGAAAAGAAAAGATTTTATAATGAGATCAGGTGCTTGTTTTTGCCCCCCACTTTTTTTTCCTTTTAGACAAGGTATTGCTATGTGACCCAGGCTGGCTTCCAACTTGAGATCCCCCTGTCTCAGCCTCTTGGATGCTGAGACCGTAGACATTGCCACCGTGCTCAGCTGTGTGACTGTCCTTGGAGTGAGGACCGTGGAGGCGGGGAAGGAATGCTGTGTGCCAGGTGCTTGCATTACCAGTTCCCACCTGGGGATCTGCTGCCGCGTGGTAGAGGAACTGGCCACTGCAACAGGGCCATGCGTCCATCCACTTAGAAAGTAGCTTCAGCGAAATGTAGAAGTAGAGTCAGAGAGATGGCCTGTTGCTTCAAGTTACCTGCTGCCAAGCCCCACGGCCAGAGTTCAATCCCTGGAACCCCATAAGGTGGAGGGAGAAAGTTGACTCCTACAATTCTCTTCCACACACACCTGTTAACTAAATAAATAAATTTTAATTTTAAAGGAAAAAAAAAGGCCAGGCATCAGTGGCACACGCCTTTAATCCCAGCACTTGGGAGGCAGAGCCCGGGGTATCTCTGTGAGTTCAAGGCCAGCCTGGTCTACAGAGTGAGTTCCAGGACACGCACCAAAACTACACAGAGAAACCTTGTCTCGAGGGAAAAAAAAAAAAAAAAAAAAGGAAAGAAAGGGAAAAAAAAGGTTCTGAGGGCCAAGGAGATGGCTCAGTGGGCAGAGGCACTTCCGGCAGGCCTGAGAGCCAGAGTTTGAACAGAACCCATGTGGTGGAAGACAGAAACACTCACAGAATAAACATGTTAAAATGTAATCTTTAAAAGTTTAAAAAAGAAAATGAGGGTTCTGAGGGCGTAATTGTATGAGCGTTATTCTCACAGAGCGTTAATTCTGACCGAGGCTTTGTGACCTGGGGAATGTAGCTCAGTTGGTGGAGTGCCTGCCTAGCCTGCGTGAAGCCCCGGGTGTGATTCCCAGCCCTGGAGAAACTGTAGAGACACATGCTTGTAATCCCACCCCTCAGAAGACGGAGGCAGAGCGTTCCTTCAAGGTCCTTCTAGACTGTATAACAAGTTCAAGGCTATCCTGGACTACATGAGACCCTGTCTCAAAAATAAGTCAATATGGCTTTGTGCTGGAAGTGAAAAGGTGCCGGAGAGTCCCTGGATAGCAGCTAGCCCAGGATGGGTGGCTCCGCAAGCTGCCCAGAGGAAATGCAAGAGCCCGACGGCCCAGGATCTGGCCCGGTGAGGCAGCAGTGGTGGGGCATGGAGCAGGGTGTGAGGGTGGCTGGGCAAGCCTGGAGGGCTTAGAGGGGCTGCTTCTGGGTGCAGAGCTGTAGGGGCAGGTTGGTGCACACCTTTACTCCCAGCACTTAGGCAGGCAGAGGTAGGAGGATCTCTGAGTTCAAGGCCTGTCTGGTCTACACAGTGAGTTCCAAGACAGTCAGGACTCCATAGTGAGACCCTCATCTCAAAAACAAATAAATAGAGAGAGAGAGAGAGAGAGAGAGAGAGAGAGAGAGAGAGAGAGAGAGAAGACGCTAGTTACATAAAATATAAGAGAACATAGCAAGACTTTGGAGTTTGCCTAAAGCGTAATAGGTGGTTGTGGTGAGACAAGGTCTTATGTAGCCCAGGCTTGTTATGTAGCCAAGGATAGCCTTGACGTTCTGATCCTTCTGTTCTGCCTCTGTCCCCTGAGTACTGGGATTATACACGTGTACTACCATATCTGATTCCAGTTAGCGATTCATCATTACATTTTTGTTTGTGGTGTGTGTGTGTGTGTGTGTGTGTGTGTGTGTGTGTGTGTGTGTGTGTGTGGCAACTCTAGGGAGTCAGTTCTTTTCCACCATGTGGATCCCAGGAGTTGAACTCAGGTGTCAACCCTGGCACCTTTACCCACGAGCCACCTCGCTGGCAAGGTTTTAAGCAAGAAAAATGTAGAAGCTCTTCCTTTCCAGGATGATCTTCTCAGACCCCCCGCTGGCCGTTGCTGACAGTGTTTCCTTTTCTGCCAGGCATCTTGGGTAGCGTGAACTACGATGAGGAGACTGACAATGAGGGAGAGGAAGGGGACAATCTCAGCTCCCCGTCAGCTCAGTCAGAAAGAGAGAGTTCCGCAGCCGGCCAGGAAGCGGCCTCGGTATGTTGTCCTTTGCAGCTGGTGCGGTGACCCTCCAACCCGGGAAGTGTTCACACTGGGGCTCCTGGTGCGCTGTGTGACTATCAGCTTGCCTTTGGGCGAGGACAGAAGACGGGGAGGATTGTGTCCGCGTCTGATGCAGGGGATGGAGTTTGCACCCGATTCTGGTTGCTCACATAAAACTGTTTTCAGGAGACAGGGGCTTCCGGTGTCACAGCCCAGCAAGGGGATGCCCAGCTTGGAGAAGTGGAGAATTTAGAGGACTTCGCATACAGCCCTGCCCCTCGGGGTGTCACAGTGAAGTGTCGGGTAACCAGGGATAAGAAGGGCATGGACCGTGGCCTCTTCCCCACCTACTATATGCACCTGGAGAAGGAGGAGAATCGCAAGGTATGGGGTCCGTCCTAGGCTGTTTCCTTCCTTCTTTTCTTCTGGTCTGGCGATAAAACACCATGCACACCAGGCAGGCACTCCTTCACCAAGCCACGTCCTTAACCCTGAGATGCTCCTGGGAGGACAAGGCCGTGGTGGGAATTGGTTATGCCCGGGGAGTCCCCCTGATTAGACTCCGTCAGCTGAAAGTGGGTTATGTACCTCGAAGTCCTGTTCTAATGTCATTAGATCAGTCCTAGTCATGGGCAGGACCTCTAGTTCCCCACCCCTGCCCACCCTCTAGAAAAACTTCTGTCCATAATGTAAGGAAGTGGAGCCCGGCCAGGTGGTGGCGCACGCCTTTAATTCCAGCACTCCGGAGGCAGTGGCAGACGGATCTCTGAGTTCAAGGCCAGCCTGGTCTACAGAGCGAGTTCCAGGACAGCCAGGGCTGTTACATAGAGAAGCCCTGTCTTGAAAAGACAAAAACAAACAAACAAACAAAAAGGTATAAGGAAGTGGGGAAGTGTTTCCATGTGCCAGGATGGCGCTCAGCCCCCTTCACGACGGGAGCTGCCCCAACCACTGAGCTGCCCCAGCAAGAGTGTAGAAGTATGCTTGTTTTCTTCTCCCTCCCTCTTTTTTTTTCTTTGTGTGGGATGTCATGTAGTCCAGGATAGCTTCAAATTTGGACTGAGGGTGACTTCCTGGATGAACTTCAGATCCTCCTGCCTCAGCCGTCCAAGTGGTGGATCTCCTTTGTTCATGTATATTTTATTCTGTAGTCTGTAGTTCTTTTTTTTTTGTTTTGTTTTGTTTTGTTTTTTGTTGGTTTTTTTTTTTTTTGTTTTTTCGAGACAGGGTTTCTCTGTATAGCTTGCGCCTATCCTGGAACTCACTTGGTAGCCCAGGCTGGCCTCGAACTCACAGAGATCCGCCTGGCTCTGCCTCCCGAGTGCTGGGATTAAAGGCGTGCGCCACCAATGCCCGGCTAGTGTACTTTAAGTGTGTGCGTATGTGTCTGTATGTTAGTATGTGCATGTGCGTTCATATGCCCTTGGAGGCCAAAAGATGGTTTCTGATG